AAGTAGCCATACCAACTGTAAGAGGCTAATTAATTAAGATGAGCTACTGTGAGCCCCTCGCGCACAGTAGGGGGCAGGAGAAAAAATTTTTTTGTGGTGATGATCAAGATGGCCCATTTTAGACAGTTGACAAGAAGGTGTGAGGATACTTAACATGGGGAAATAGATTCAATATGTGTAATGACCCAGCCACTCCCAGTCTCTATTCAAACCCAAGTGAATGGTATCTAGTTTGCACATTAATTCAAGCTCAGCAGTTTCTCATTGGAGTCTGTTTTTGAAGCTTTTCTGTTGCAAAATTGCCACCTTTAATTCTGTTACTGAGTGACCAGAGAGGTTGAAGTGTTCTCCTACTGGTTTTTGAATGTTATGATTCCTGATGTCAGATTTGTGTCCATTTATTCTTTTGCGTAGAGACTGTCTGGTTTGGCCAATGTACATGGCAGAGGGGCATTGCTGGCACATGATGGCATATATCACATTGGTAGATATGCAGGTGAAGGAGCCCCTGATGGTGTGGCTAATGTGATTAGATCCTATGATGGTGTCATTTGAATAAATATGTGGACAGAGTTGGCATTGGGCTTTGTTGCAAGGATAGGTTCCTGGGTTCGTGTTTTTGTTGTGTGGTTGCTGGTGAGTATTTGCTTCAGGTTGGGAGGCTGTCTGTAAGCGAGGACTGCTCTGTCTCCCAAGATTTGTGAGAGTGAGGGATCATCTTTCAGGATAGGTTGTAGATCTTTGATGATGTGCTGGAGAGGTTTTAGTTGAGGGCTGAAGGTGATGGCTAGTGGCGTTTTGTTATTTTCTTTGTTGGGCCTGTCCTGTAGTAGATGACGTCTGTGTACTCTTCTGGCTCTGTCAATCAGTTTTTTTCACTTCAGAAGGTGGGTATTGTAGTTTTAAGAAGGCTTGATAGAGATCTTGTAGGTGTTTGTCTCTGTCTGAGGGATTGGAGAAAATGTGTTTGTATCTTAAAGCTTGGCTGTAGAAAATGGATCGTGTGTTGTGGCCTGGATGGAAGCTGGAGGCATGTAGGTAAGTATAGCGGTCAGTAGGTTTCTGGTATAGGGTGGTGTTTATGTGACCATTGCTTATTAGCACAGTAGTGTCAAGGAAATGGACCGCTTGTGTGGATTGGTCCAGGCTGAGGTTGATGGTGGGATGGAAATTGTTGAAATCATGGTGGAATTCCTCAAGGGCTTCTTTTCCATGGGTCCAGATGATGAAGATGTCATCAATGTAGTGCAAATAGAGTAGGGACTTTAGGGGACGAGAGTAGGGGCCTTACCCTGCAGCAAGCACACACTAGGGCTTGCCCCTCGCTCACAGTAGGGGGCGAGTAAGCGAGACAGGGGCCGAGACTCCCCTCCTCGGCCAGCAGGCTCAGCTGAGGCCTTTGGTGTCATTGCACCGTGGTGCTTTGTCTGGCACATGGGCAGGGCCGGCTCTGGCTTTTTTGCCGCCCCAGGCAAAAAGCTGCCGGCCGCCCCACCCGTGCGGGGGGGGAGGAGGGCAGGCAACCGGAGCCCGGGGGGGAGGGCGGCGAGCCCCCTGCGCTCTGGCCGCTGGGGGGAGAGTGGAGCCCTGGCCGGGGCTCACCGCCCTCCTCCCAGGGCTCTGGCCGGCCGCCCTCTCCCTGGCGGCCGTGGCTCCGCTCTCCCCGGGGGCCGGAGCACCGCGCCGCCCCCATCCAGGTGCCGCCCCAAGCACAAGCTTGATGGGCTGGTGCCTGGAGCCGGCCCTGCACATAAGGTGACCAGATGTCCCGATTTTATAGGGACAGTCCCGATTTTTGGGTCTTTTTCTTATATAGGCTCCTATTACCCCCCACCCCTGTCCCGATTTTTCACATTTGCTGTCTGGTCAGCCTACCTGCACATGGGGCGTGTGCCACGGCATGTGACCCCTCCAGACCCGGGGCCGGGCTGCCTGCCAAGGGAGTAGCACCCCCCCCCGGAGCCCCTGGCAGAGCGCAGAGCGCCGCCATGGGCGGGGCGGTACAATGCCGGCCGCTGCCAGTCCGCCCCCTATGTTGCCAGGGTGGCCAGGTGCACACAGTCACGTGCCTCGCGCACGGCCGCTGTTTTGGGTGGTTTGTGCTCACGTGCCCACAAAGCGAAAACGAGGTTGGTGAATAGGGAGGGGTGGGCGAATCTGCCGCCATTTTGTACCCGGGCCAAGCGCCCTCCCGGGTCCCCCGGCTGCCAGGCAACGTCCATACGCGGGCAGCGACTGCGAGCCAGTCACCGCCTCTCAGCTCCCGGCGTGCACCGCGTCTCCCCGCCCCACCTACCGCGGTGCACGCTGGGAGTTGTAGTCCCTGGCTCGTTCCGCGCGTCACGTTAGTGGAGACGCCGGTATCTCGGTGTCTGCGGCCCGTGGGGGCGGGGCCGGCCCGGCCCGCTCCCCGCACTCGGAGCCATGGCCGGCGCCGGCAGGAAGAAGCAGGTTCGCTTCGCCCGGCCGGAGGCGGAGGACACGCGGCGGGGCGGCGAGGGGCCGGCGGCGGAGCAGAGTCTCCTCCCGGAGCCCGCGCCGCGGCCTGAGGTGATCGTAGCCGGCGGCGGCGGCGGCGGCAGGAGCCGGGGCGGGGAGGGAGCGGCGCTGCTGCTGCGATGGTGCATCTCCGGGGTGCTGTGCTCCGCCTTCCTGGGCCTGGTGAGCGGGGCTGGGCCCGGGCTGGAGCTCCCCTTCCGCCTTGCGGGCACCGACGGCCCGGGGGAGCCCCTGTGCTGGGGGTGGACCTGGTGAAGGTGATGGTTTGACGCAGCCCCTTCTCCCGCGGGGCTAGTGAGAACAGGACCTGCAGTACTGGGGCAGAGCAATGGTCCCTCTAGCCCCATATCTGGTCTCTGACGGGGCCGCGGCCAGCTGCTTCAGCGAGGACCCGAACAGGGTAATTAGTGATAGAGCCACCCCCTGTTGTCCAGTCCCAGCTACTGATACATGGAGGTTTAGGGATACCCAGAGCATGGGGCTGCATCTCTGACTATCTTGGCTAATTGCTATTGCTGGACCTATGCTCCATGAATGTATGTATTTTTTTTTTACCCCTGTTATAGTTTTGGCCTTTGCAACATCCACTGGCAACGAGTTCCACAGGATACCGGTGGGCTGTGTGAAGAAATACTACCTTATGTTTGTTTTAAATCTGCTATCTATTAATTTCATTGGGTGACCCCTGGTTCTTGTGTTATGTAGAGGGATAAATAACACTGCTTTATTCATTCTCTCCACACCATTCAGATAGTAATAAACTAATGAGTCAGCACAGAGAGTATTGATAGAGCCCTAGGGTTCAAATCAGCCATGTGGGCTTCCTGGTAATTTCTAGATAGTTTCACCTGCCTGTGAGACAAACCAAGCCCAAAATACTATCTCAGCTGCTTGAGGAGTAATGTTTCTGTAGCATTGGATTGTATAAGAACCTTTATTTTGCACAGCATTGAGCACACTGCTGGTACTGAAATGATGACTGTCCCAGACAGCTAAGTTTTCCTTTGGTATTGTTCTCACGATGAGGTACTGTGAAACTCACTTGGGTGCGCCACAAGCTTATTCCAAAGGTGACTGCAAGCGAAACTTAAATTTCACTTGGTGCTTTTCACACAGTTAAAAGAAAACGTGTATGTAAATTTAGAGATGATCTCGCTAGAACAGATTTGGATTACATCAAGTGATATTTTAATATTTATTATTCATTAGTAAGGCTAAGATTTTGTCCTGGATATTTTTAGTAAAAGTCAGGGACAGGTCACGGGCAAAAAAGAAAAATTAATGGAAGCCATGACTTGTCCCTGACTTTTACTAAAAATATCCGGGACAAAATGGGGATCTGCGTATCCCCAAACCACCTGAAGTGGGGCAGCTGTGCAGGGGACTGCGGGGTACCCCTACTACCTGCAGCTCTGGGGGTTGTCCACTGCCTATGGAGGCTGAGAGCTGTGGGGTGCCCCCCGGCTCCCATGTCACCCCCACAGGGGCCAGAGGCTCATGGTGAGCCGGGAGCCCGGGGGTTCCCCCGCCACGGCTGGGAGTTCCCATGCTGCCTCCACTGCCTGCGAGCTTGGGGGTTCCCCGCCACCCCGGATGGCCGCCAGAGGCAGCAGGGGTATCCACAGCTCCTGGCCCTGTGGGCGGCGGGGGACCGTGCAGCTCCCAATTGCTGAAGTCATGGAGGTCGCTGGAAGTCACGGAGTCTTGTGACTTCCACGACCTCCGGGACTAAATTGTAGCCTTACTCATTAGAAGTATTACCATGGTACCTAGGAGTCATAGTCCAGGACCAGAACTCAATTGTGCTGTACAAAAACAGACAAAAAGACTATCCCTGCCTTGAAGAGCTTGCTGTGTAAGGCTGTGTCTATACTGCCGCTTTCAGCGCTAAAACTTTAGTCGTTCAGGGGTGTGAAAAAACACCCCCCTGAGTGACAAATGGTTTAGAGCTTAAAAGCGCCAGTATAGACAGCGCTCTATCACCGGGAGCCACACTCCTGGTGATAAAGCTACCACCCCTCGTTTGGGGTGGTTATTTTTTATCGCCGGGAGAGGTCTCCCCCAGTGATAAATCGTGACTACACTGCCCACCTCACAGCGCTGCTGTGAGACATACCCTAAGTAACCTGCCAACCTATTTCGGGCTTGTCTTAGGTGAAATTCCTTACCTAGCTGTAAGTTAAATTGATAACTGGCACTCTGAAACCAAAATAAGAGTGCCCCCAACATAAGACTGCATTGTTTAACTAAATCAGTTTCTAAAGTGACTTAATTAAAATGGTATAATTTTTGTTTGCAGACAAAGTCTTAGTAACATAATATGAACTATATCATTTCTTGCTGCTGGTGAGAGTTTATTTTGTTAACCTTCTGCCCTCTAAAATGAACAAACAAAAGATCCTCACTGTTTTTCAGGGTATGAGCATTGCTATCCTGGGACCTACATTTCAAGATTTGGCTGCAAATGTGAATAAAAATGTCAGTGATATTTACTACATTTTCGTGGGTCGTTCTCTGGGGTACCTTGGTGGTTCAGTGATTGGAGGGATTATCTTTGACTGCATGAACCCTCATCTCCTCTTGGGTAAGTGTACTCAAAATAATTCTTTTGTATGTGACGAATGTATAGCTTGATGAATCTCTAATATCTTTATTAAGTGTCATAACCTGCACTATTTCCAGAGGGCTTGGTATAGTAACAAATTGTGAAAGTTGTGTTCAAAAATATATCTCAAGCCAGCTTTCATCTCCCTTATCTTGGTGTGTCATGCAAGTATCCTGTTGGCCTTTACCCCGGAGTCTTGCACGATGAAAGTTGCATGTATACTATCACCAGCATTGTCATACTCCTTTAAAAATATTGTACACTGCTGCAGGAGTGATGTAATTTAAAAACTATGAAATTCTGTTTCTAGTTGTCAGTTTCATTCCTCTCCTTTTATTGCAAAAGACCACATCTATCTCTATCAGAACTGAATAAAAGATGCCTTTTGCTGAAACAAAGAGAAGCAGAGTTGGATTTTTTTTTCTATGTCAAATGGCTGGTTCTGAGAATATTTATATAAAACGAATCAAATTTGAAAATGGCCACATCACAAGCTACATGAGAAAAATGAGAGAAGCTCAGCTGAGACTCGCGTTTGATCACCTGTAGTGCTGTCAGTGATACCATTTCACACAGTTGAGTTACAACTTCTACAAAAAAAAAATGTTGCAAACTCAACCTCTGTTAAAATACACTGCACCCGCTAAAATTGTTCGCCTGTTCCATTAAACCCTGACATGCACAAAATTTATAAATAAAGTCTATTACCAATCTTCTGCTTCTCATTGATTCTCATTTATCTGTCAGACAGGAGGCAAGTAAGTAATCTGAAGACAAATTTATCTGAAACAGAGATTTCTGAACTAATAAAGCAAAATCTTTCATGCTTATTATATTCAAAAGTAAGGTGAACTGATGGCAAGCTCTAAACACAGTTATCTGTAGAACTATTTCTTAGGTTTTGCCTTAATTTTTCATGTGTTGTCAATTTGAGAAATAATTCGCATGCTTTCAATTTTCAATTGGATAAGCAATGGAGAAAAGATCGCATCTCATAGGTTGACTAAGTTTAAATTTAATAAATTCTGTTAACAGAACTTATTCTTTTTGAAACTCTACAATGAATTAGGAGCCTATTTATGATGTGGGCATATAACTTACTAATGTTAATGGAAGCTAAACTTGTGCATTGAGAGTAATTGGAGAAAATAGTTCAGTTGAGGACTTCCTAGTGTGATCACTAGAGCTGGTCAGAGGATGACATTTCAGTTTTGTGAAGAATTTGACACTTGAAAATTTGACTTTGTTTTGAATTGAAATGAAACTGAAAATTTTTGAAATCTTCCAATCTAAAATAAGCTGTGCTCTGTGATCAAAATGTCTTGGTTTGACAGAACCAGAATGTTTCATTTTGGTTTTTATTTTATATTACTATCTAGTAATACGAAATAATTTTTTTTAAACAGTCACTTCAAAATGAAAAACTAAAACCTTTTGTTCCAAAAATCTCAAAACATCCCATTTTACATTGTCAGAACTTTTTTTCAGTTTTTCTCAAAAAGTAAATTTTGCTCAAATTAGGCTCGATTTTGTGAAGTATTTTGATTTTAACAGGCAATTTCTGAGGAAAAAATGGTTCCATCTAAGTCTTTTCAACCAGCTGTCATGAACACTAATTCAGTCTATCATAAAACACAGATTTAATTATAATAAATTGACTGTTTTGGATCTCTGTAGAAGTCATGCTGAAAACTGGAGCTTCAGTATGGATTTTGGATTACCTTTATAGGGTTAACCATGTTGGGAACAGCAGTTGGTCTTTATGCCATACCATGGTGTAAGAAAGCGCTATTGTTAACTGCCCTGATGTCAGTCATTGGCACTTCCATGGGTGTTCTAGACACAGGTAAGTGAACTGATCCTCTTCCTGCTGCAGGAAGTCCTGTGGATTGAATGAGTCATTGGGAGTCTGTCAACTCCCTTTGTATCTATCTGAGAGAATTGTTCGCACTCATGAGGTGCTAGAGATCCACAAGAGCTGAGTTTATGCTCATCATTAGGACTTCCAGTTTGTGTGGCAAGCATGTTGTGTTGTCAGTATAGGCTTAGGGCCTGCTAAAATACTTAAATTTCGCTTAGTGAAGGAGGAGGAAAATGTATGTTTTGTTTTCTAGCATGCATGGTATATGTATGCTAAACTAAATTTGTGTTCATATCCATTGTCACTTGCCGTTAAAGTTACTCTCTCTCGCTGTTACTACAGTAACATCATCCATACTGAAGACAGTAAGAGCAGTTTTTTTCCTGAGTGTGATGCAAATGGTGAGGTAAATGCCAGGCTGGAATAATCTCTAGAATGAATCTGTTGGTGTATCCCTGACTGTATGTGGGATGGCATGGAAAGATTGCCAAGTACACCTTTATCCCGATATAACGCTGTCCTCGGGAGCCAAAAAATCTTACCACGTTATAGGTGAAACTGTGTTATATTGAACTTGCTTTAATCCGCCAGCGTGCGCAGCCCCGCTCTCCCGGAGCGCTGCTTTATCGTGTTATATCGGGTCGCGTTATATCGGGGTAGAGGTATATTCCTCAATTAACTACTTATTCAACCCATTTGTGTGACTGAGTGAGTGAGCAGCTCTAATGCAAATTTGATGCTATCTGTTGAGAAGAGAGCCTAGGACTGAGTGTCACAAACAGCCTAGGATCTTCTGTCAAAGATTTATCTGAGCTTTATCTGGAATGCCATAATAGTGCCAAATGGAACACTGTTTGAAATGAGCTAGTTCTTGTTCTTGAGATAAAAAGGTAAAAAAAATGGCATGTGCAGTGGAACCTTCTACTGCTTAATTTTTATAAGCAGAGTTTCACTCTAGCTAGATTTGCAGTTTGCACATTTCATGCCCTGAAAAAGGTAATGACCTTTGATTCCATATATTATAAAATAAGTTCTTTATAATCTGCTTCCACTGTAGATTGTTCTGACAGATTGTCTAGATATATATTAACTAAATAACTGATTGGGAAGAAACCATACGGTATCTTAAGTTTCCGTATTAAATAAATGGATCCTCATTTCTTTAATCTGCAGGTGGAAATGTCCTTGCATTGAATGTATGGAGAGCAGAGGTTGGACCACATATGCAGGCCTTACACTTCAGTTTTGCACTGGGTGCCTTTGTGGCCCCAATCCTGACAAAAATGGCATTGGGCAGCTTCATATCTCCTAAAGTCCAAACAGAAGATGAAAATACAAACCATTCTGTTCTGAGTGATATACCTAACACACGGTCTGGATCAGCAATGAAACTGCATTCTAATGTGAGCTTTATGTGGTCCTACATTGTCATAGGGACCTATATTTTGATAGTTTCTATGTTGTTTGTTGTTCTGTATTCAAGGACCGGCTCAGCACGAGATAAAGCAAAAGCTTCTCTGCAGAAATGCCAAATTGCCAAATACCACTATGCCCTTCTCATTCTCCTTTTCCTTTTCTTCTTTTGCTATGTAGGAGCAGAGGTCACCTATGGCTCTTACATTTTCAATTATGCAGAGGTTTATGCAGACATGAAAGAAAGTGAAGCAGCTGGTTTGAACTCCCTTTTTTGGGGAGCATTTGCAGCTTGCAGAGGACTGGCCATCTGTTTTGCTACCTGTTTCTACCCTGGTACTATGATTCTGCTGAGTGTCATAGGTTCCACTGTCTCTTCTCTGTTCCTGGCACTGTTGAGTAAGCATCCAATTTCGCTCTGGGTTGGGACAGCAGTGTATGGTGCTTCAATGGCTACCATCTTTCCCAGTGGCATTTCCTGGATTGAACAGTACACCACCATACAAGGAAAGTCTGCTTCTCTCTTTGTAGTTGGTGCTGCCTTGGGGGAGATGTGCTTTCCAGCAGTAGTTGGGTTTCTTGAAGGAAAACTTCACAATGTCCCTGTGATGATGTATGCTGCATTGGGAACATCTGTAATGACAGCAGTACTATTTCCTGTGATGTATAAATTAGCCACTTCTCCCAGTGAGAGTAAGTTAAAAGATGGTGGTGGGAGCGAAGACCAGAAAGCTTTGTTGTCCAACTTTGAACTTAATGAAGATGAGGAAGATGAAGAGGATGCAGGAGAATGGAATGAAGCAGACTTCGAAGTAATTGAAATGAATGATACAGTGAGAAACTCTGTGGTAGAGACATCTCAAAAGATCCCAGGGGAATCCCCAGCTAAAGTGTCCATGCAGCCACATTCAAATATATTTAGTTCTTCTCCAGTGATTGCTCTTAGCTCCCCAGGGAGAAAGCAATTCAATACAGACAGAGAGAAGAATGATTAAAGTAAAATCTAGACTGCTTACTTGAAATGACTGCCTGGCTTCTGTAAGGTAATAAACAATCAAATTAGCTGTGATTCAGAATTTTAATAGTGGTACAAAGCCAAGTGTTTCCACCTCTGTGCTTGCCAAATCCCAGTTTATGCTTATTCATTTTAGTCTGCAACCATGCATCCTGGAGTGAAAAAGAATGTGCATGTTGGACATAGTAAAGAGGGAGTCCATGGTAATATGATCAGGTGTTGTCATGGAACTAAAAGCAATTTAGACTAAACGTATGGGAAACATTTCTTAAATGTGAGGCTCTAAACAATTTCTCAAAGAAAGTGGTGGGCACCCTAATGTAACTTAAAGTGATACTGGTCAGAGTATTTTAACCATATTTTTAGAACTATCCTGCATTGGCAGGAATAGACCAGGACACACTGCGATCTTAATTGATCACCCTCATACAAATCAGAGAAGAACCTTCAACTTCTTGAATCTAGTGAAGGGGATATTTCCATGGCACTTAAAGTCTAGTATGTAACATAAACCATGACATTACTGGTAAGTTAAACAACAAGGTATCGGTTGTGTCCTTGTCCTTTTGGGAAAGTGGAAAAGTTGATAGCTCAACAGCTTTAGTTAATGGATGTATTGTTGACCTTGACTGGGAATTTCCTGGTTTTGTCATTTTTATGTAATGTTGTTTAAACATAGATTTCTGTGTTGAGTTGATTTTAAATCATGGAAACATCAAATGTGTTACACTGGAATAAAATATTTATTTAGGGAGGTTTTTAAAAATGTGTGTTATGTACTCTTTCCAAGGTTGCTTTGAAGAATAAAACGATTTGTCACACATCTGCATTTTTTTATTTTGAGAGGGTGGAGAGAGAGGACAAAGGAGTTTTAAAAGGTAGTTGTGCTGATCTGCTATAATTTTTAATTCTTGATTGTTGAGCCATTATTAGCTACTCTTTAATCAGTGGTTGATGATAAACTACTGGTATCACAGGCAGTATACACAGTAGTGTAATTACTTTGCATATACCAAAGCTAAATTTCAAAGGCAATTTTACCTTTTTAGTAACCAATAACCCCTAATCCATAGTATTGACGGAAGCCCTTAACTCTCAAACCAAATTGTTCAAACAAAAGTTTTAAAGATATGTTCTGGCTTTCCCTGAAGTTAATAGCAAAAATCCAGTGGGAGAATACATATCTTTTCAAAGCGAAATGTACAAAACTGTGTAAAGCTTAGCCTGTGGCATACTTCAATAGCTGTTTACTTACCTCTGGAAAATTAATAGGTTACAATTACTAATGAAACTTTCCCTTTTCTAACAGCCACAGTATTGAGTGCAATCCAAGTTCTGAAAGGTACCAGAAGGTGACCTGTAACTGCTTCTTTTGTGCAAGTTGGACTGGTGCCCTCTGCTTTTTACGCTGGTAACATTGTAATGTTTCAGATACTTTGAGATAATGTATTTGGATGCTGCCTTAAGAGAAGGTCCATGTTTTGCACAGATGAGGTACAGTGGAGTGTTTCATGTAGTATTTATCAACATCTTGGGTGTGTAAGATTGGAAATACCATGCTGGGGGAGGGAGGAAACGCTGAGTGCTAGCAAATAAATAAATCACCATAATGCCAAGAACAGACAAATATAGAAAGTGTTGCTTAGAATTAATTTGGAGCCTTCCATTTAATGCAGTCCGTCTATTTGAAAACCCAGATTTTGAAGGCAGCTTTCTCGGAGGCTGCATGATCAAAACTTGCTTTTTGTATTGCTTATTGGATAGTTAAGACTTTTGCTGGTAATTTACTTTCGTAGTACGGGTTGTAGTTTGTTTATTTACATTTGGAGCCTTTCTGTTATGTGGTACTGGATCTTTTTTTTAGACGTTTGGGTTTATGACTGACTGCTTCCCCTCTTCTCCCCCTTCCCCTCCCCAACAAATTTCACTTTCCGCTGAAATCTGAGGGGAAGAAATAGAGCAAGACCTAGCCATACTGGAAAACGTTTGCAGTTTATGGTAAGAGACAATGAAATCTTGAAGACACTTCCCCCTCCCCACTACACCATAACGTTAGTGTAAATGCCAGTGTATTGCCTGTTTTCCTGCAAAAGAGGGGAGCGGGATAAGATAATTGGATACTGACAGAAGACACATTTTAATAACGGACTGGTTCTGCACCTTGAGTTGTCTGTTCAGAAGGGTATATTTGACCTACCTGGGTCTGTGAGTGAACACTGGTAGGTAATCTGACTAGGGTTTTTTTTTTTTTTAATTCATATCTTCATAGCTTCTGTTGTAGTATCACACCTGCTATATCAATGCATTGCTAAACTTGGATTATGCTGTTTCAGTTGTTGCATGAAAGCTCTCTCCTTCTCTTACTTAACAGTGTAATGCTTGTAAATATTTAAGGACCATATTCTATCCTTGGATACATATGGCTGCCCATAAAGTCAATGGAAGCAGCTCTCCATATGCATTTACAGTACTAGAGTTTGACCTGCAGATCAGTATAGAAAATAACAGCTGAACTGCAATGGTAGAGATCTTGGCTTAAATAAGGAAGTCTAGGATAAGCTTTTGTGTCATATTCTGAAATGCTATTGAAATTCTACACTAATAAAGCACTTACCATTTAATACTATTTATGCATAATAATTGGAAAGCATGAATACTCTGTGCAACATGTGTGCATGGATGGCAAAAATCCCACAAATGACTTTGAAAACAAGCATATTAACAAAGGTGGTGAGTCTCTCATACGTCGTGCTTTTTTCCAGACTTTTTACAAAGGGGTGTAATAATAGATCTATTCTTGCTGCAGGATCCTGAACAGAAATGGTTACAACAACAGCAAACCTGACACAGTCAGGCTGTCCATGCATGTGTGTTGTTTGAAACAAAACAGGCTTGACTACCTTTTAGAGGCGTTTTAGACTTTTTTTTGTCAATCAACTGGGTTTTTACTAAAAGTGTCACTCAAGCTTTAACCATTACTGGTTTTAAAGATCAGGGGGTAGCCGTGTTAGTCTGTATCTACAAAACCAACAAGGAGTCTGGTGGCACCTTAAAGACTAACCGATTTATTTGGGCATAAGCTTTCGTGAGTAAAAACCTCACTTCTTCGGATGCATGTTGCATCCGAAGAAGTGAGGTTTTTACTCACAAAAGCTTATGCCCAAATAAATCTGTTAGTCTTTAAGGTGCCACCAGACTCCTTGTTGGTTTTAAAGAGGAGCTTTTACTTGACATAAAATCTAAACACATGATGATGTTGAATCATCAGTTCTATATTTTTTTTTATATAAACGCTGTTTGGTGTATCCTCTTGCAAGAAAGTGCAGGCTTTGGACACTAAGTCTAGAGCATCTCTTTTGGCATCTCCATTCTTTACAGCCAGTGACCTTGTAGCCAGAGGAAAAAATTTTAAACCCTTCTGACGAACATGTGTATTTTTAAAAAACCATTTAAACTGAATAGGAATCAAGAATTTCATTCTTTTCTCCCATCAACATTAGAACAAGCATGAAACAAAGCAATAGGGCCAGTGCTAGGAGACTGGAAGGCTAAATTAACTTTTTTTTATTTTTGTGCTAAGGGAGGGATAAAGTGAGGACGAGGAAGACAAAAAGAAAAAGCAATTTGTAATACTGAAGAGGGAGGTAATGTAAGCAAGGTCATTCCCAAGCATGTCTAATCAGTTTATAGACTAGTAGTGAAAATGAAATCCAAGCTCCATGGAGAAACTTGGGCTCCGTAATCTGAAACTTACTTTGTTTATGATCATAGCTGCTTTCTTCACAGTGTAGCGAGATTACATAATGAGGTTTTATTTCAAGTTCACTGTATAAATTTATATATATTTATAATATATATCATATAAATAATCAGAGGGTTCCCCTGTGATACAATACAAGAGTGGCAATGTGTAACGCTTTTCCTCAGTCACCGGACAATTGATGGAAAAGTTGAAACTAAGAGATGTGATATATGGACAAAAAAACCAAATCTGTAGTGTAGGTCATCAACTGCTTTGACTAATGTCATGTGGATATCTAGAATCAAGTTATATATTTAAAAATTACTTAGTAATAAGCTTGTCTGTAAGCCATTCCTAAAACGTTGAGATTGGCTGCTAGCACCCAGTGAAATGTTTTGCGGTATTTTTATTGCGCGATCACCTTCTCTTCAAATTTGAGCGTTTTAGTTATTGTGCAATGAAAACATTAACTAAAATGGTGATGGTAAGTACGTATAACAGCCAGCTTTCCCTCACTACCCCCTTTTCAACAACTGTATTTAAATGTATCTAGGCAGATTTGTACATCAGGTACATACTGTTAAATGTAAAATATACTAAAGAAAGACCAGCCAGGATGTAGGTCAGTTTAGATTGATTAAGAAACTATGGTAATTAGTGGCATGCTGCATTAGAATATCACAAGTTTCCTCTGCTGTCATCTTAAGATCCAACAACTATATGAAAGTTGCAGCCTTATGTCAGTCACTCTGTTGGGGGATTTCTGGGCTTTTTGTTAGGTGGAAAACACAAGTTACTGATGTTTACTTAAATTCAAGTAACTAGTATATTTGAATGTTAAAAGCTTCCTGGTTAAACTGCAATACCTAAGTGCCTTCTTTGTCATTTATTCAGTCAGTAAGTGTTTAATTAGGACTTTAGTTGTGAATTTGATCAGAAGCTTAAGAGACAAAGTATTTTATACGAGAAACAACCAGTGTTCTTCATATTTGTATTGGTTAATTTGATTATTTGGCAATACAGTTGTCATTTTAAGAAACCCTTAAGTGTCAGTGATCATCTTTAAATAGTACAACATTCAGTTATAGGCTTGGGGAAGCTGTTATGCTCAACGATAGCTAACTGAATTAATAGCAGTTGCTTATGTCATTGAGAATCATTGGTACAGACTGAAGAAAGAGGCAAAACACTATAAACATTTGCACATCAGTGCAATAAGATCTGTCCCCTTCCTATATAGTTAAGGTGGACAGCTGCAGCAAATTGTCATCTATTAGTATGTTTTCATTTAGCCTGAAGATTGGCAATGTCCATTTAAAAAAACAGAATGCAATACTGTGTTTAAGATGAAGCATTTAAATGGTAAGGAACAATGTGAAGGTATTTTTGGTATTTGCACTTTTATCCCATAAATGAGACCGCACAAAGGTAGTATTCTCAAGTAGGCAACAGTTCTTGGTGGTTTTTCTGTAATTCCAGTCTTGCTGTTGCTACTGCTTATGCAATGATCTACACTTAAATTAATTCAGTTTTTTCCATACTTTTACCCTTTTGTGTATGGTGGGTTTTTTGATTTAATAGATTTAGGTTGAAAACTGCTTGATGTTTACATGACTGTGTAATGTGAAGTTTATTGGATAAACTGTTTCTTGAATGTAATAAATTACTCCTGTTTGTAAATTAGAGCATCTTTTTACAATAAAACTTGTACTGTGTTTCTGAAAGCTAGTCAGGCTTTACATTTGCAATAAATAAAGGCCTATGACCTGTTTCTAGTAT